CGCGTCGCCGCGAGCGGGGGACAGCCCAGCGCTCCCCCCAGCACCCCTCGGCGGGAGCCAGCACAGGCGCGTGCCAGAAGGCCCCGACCACTCGCATCCAACACGTCTAATTTTGGTCCCTCCAGAGGGCCACGAGCAGCCCGGAGGGATGCGGCGGGTTAAAGCCTCGGGGCAGGAGCCGGGTCCCGCATCCCCCCACCCCGACCCAACCCCCTTCTGGTCCCCAAAGGACTGGGATTTATGTGACCTATGCGATTTCTGCGGTTTATCCCCCGCGCCCCCGGCTGAGGATGTGGGGGGAAGCGCTGCCGCTTTCTGGGGCGCTCCCGCGCCCGGAGGTTTTCGGTGCCATCCAGCTCCAAGGGGCTCACAGGCTCCTGCTGCCCACACAGCCAGGGCAAAAATAACCCTTTTCTGGCTCCTACTTCTGGGTAACTCCAGGGACAAACCCCGGCGCTGCTGGAAACCCGCGTCCCACTCGTACCTGCCCGTTGCCTAGGGCAGAGCACCGCCTGTGGGGAAGCACGGAGGGTCTTTAACGGTTCTACCCACGCATTAGGAGACCAAACCCTGCATGGATGAGGCACAGAGAGCCGCTCCTGCAGAAGGCAGCGAGGATCCGCCGTCCCTCGGCACGCGAGCCCCCGCCAGCTCTGCCCCCAAAACCCCGTCCCCGCAGCGCACCCAGACGTACTCACCGCTCAGGCGGTATCTGCTTACGTGAGCGCTGTCCATGGCAAACGCTCCCCGCTAGCGGGACAGCCTGCAAGGCGGGAGGCGATGAGTTAGGACGAAGGGAAAAGAAACCCTAAAAAAAATAGCCGTCTCTTGATTTTTTTCAGCAAGGATGCCGCGTGGCTGCTCCCCCTCCATCGCTCCTCGCCTCGGCTCCTCTTCCAGGCAGGGAGCAAACGCGCACGACAGCCCCTCAGCCGCGAACAGAGGAGCTGAAGCAGAGACTGCAAACCCCGCGGGAGCCAGGAGAGTGGCCGTGCTGAGACGCCGACTCGCATCGTTTACCTCAGGAGCATTTGAGAGGTGACATTTTCCATCGCTCTTTCTGCGGACATCTCCCCTCCAGGAGCCCTTGAAGCCCTTTGCTGTTTTTTTTCTAATCTCTTTTTTCCAGCTTAAATCTTGCCTCCGCCTTCCCCAGCTTTCCCCAGCCTGACCCGAGGGGCTGCTCTGCGCCGGCGGCTCCGGGGAGCGGAGCAGCCCTGTTTGGGGGTTGCTGCA